GGCCCTGCCCGTCCGCGGCGCAGCGGGAACGGCCGCGTCCCCCCCTCAGCTGCCTCCCAGGTCCCCACCACCGCCCCCAGACCCGGGACCGAGCCGTCTTTCCCGCCCCCCGGCGCCTCCCTTGAGGCGCTGTTGCTGGTGCTGGCGGGCGCGCAGTGGAGCGGGGGGTGAGATGTTAATTGCGATCCGGTTAATTTACGGACTTGAAAAAGAATCTGCCCCCGTTGTGAGAAATGTGACTCCCGAAAGTGCCGGCAGGAAGAGACAAGTGCAGGGAGTCTCTTCATAGCGCTTTGCAAGTGCTTGTTAAAACGTGTTCTTTAAAACTTCCTTCCTAAAGTTTCATGTAGCTTTGCTGTTTTAACGTTTTTAACAAGCGTTTCTACAGGGTGTTGATCTCTGCCAGGCAGGGGTCTCATCTTACCCGCGCTGGCAGCTTCCTCCCGAGCTCACCTGGTTTCACTGCAGGCCCTTAAGGTGTTTCCCACGACTCTGTCCCCACGACTTACCCACGATCCTCAATATTCCCCGTGTTTGATAATACAGACTATGCGGAAGTGTTGTCCCTGGTCAGCAGTGTCCCCATTCCACTTCCACACATTGTTACATCTCTTTTTACACCCAGAGGGAATCAAACGTTAAGTCTTGTAAGATTTTGTACGTCTTGCTTGGGGCCCAGGTAACCTAGTGAGCTGTTGGAACCAGGAGAGTGTTTGCATGACAGAGAGCCTGAATGACACCTTTCAGGCCTAAAAACACATATATATCATGGGACTTAATCCTGACCTAACCAGCGAAATAAAGTGAATGCTCTTTCTCTCTGGATTTGGTTTCCTGAATTTTCAGCTTTATCATTAGTGTTATTTTGCTTTTTGTATTTTTTTCAGAGATGATGTTCTTTTCAGAAAAGTGCCTCAATCGGCATTTTTAATTTACAGTATATTTTGATGAAAGATATCTAGGGACCTATACTGTAAAATAAATAACCAATTCTTTAAAAAAATGAAACATTTGTCAAGTTGAATGCATGATTTCCTCAGTGTACAGGCAAGTGTTTACTGGGTCTTATTATTGTCACCAAAACAATGACTTTTTGTGCGCATTCATTTATGTTTTTGTGTATGTAGGTAGTGAACAGCCCTCATCTTAGTGAAACAGAGAAAACAATCTTCCTGCTGCCTCGAGTAGCAGTAACTTGTTCTAGGTGTGCGAGAAGTAATAGCTTCTTTAGTTGAACCTCTCAGGATGGAATTTTGGGATATTTTTAGGTTACTGAAGCACACTTGTACTTTTTTTTTTTTTTAAATGTAGCCCTTCAGAAATTTAGTTGGGCTATGATATATTACATCTGCATTTTTTTGTTTTTGTTTTGTTTTCCTGTTATTTCATGTTTATTGATAATAAGGACCAAACACATCCTGGATTCTTATTGCTACCTTAATGCCAATTTCTTGTGGGATCAGAGGAATATCAGTCACCTCTGTGTGTGCATGTACATAAAATGAGAAAACACTGCCTTAATGTCTTGTATCAGGTGGTTGAAAATAAATGAGCAGAAGTAGTACCAGGCATATCTGAAAAAGGTTTAATTCTTTGAAATCAACATATAATTTATACTTGCTATTTCTAATTGTTCCAACTTGAGATCAAAACTATAAACAGAAATATTTCAGTAGTTTCTGAGAAGTTCTTTACATAAATGTAAAATCTCCAAGAGTTTGCATTTTTCTCTACTTACTAGCAGATACTTGTTTAATATTAAATAAAATAAGCATTACCCATATAGGAGTTAGATTATGTAGATCACACTCTGTGATGGATAAAAATTGTTCTATAGCTTGCATGTGCTTTCCATTAAAGGTGCCTATTTAAATATATAATCTGCATTTTCAATATTACATTAGTTGTTACTAACTTAAAATTTTCCTCAATATTACTGAATTATTAAATTTTATTTGCTAATTATGAAAAATTGTAGAGCATAAAGATGAGTTTGATAAATATAGTACTTTTTATTTGCATTCCTGTAAGGATAGAAAGTGATGTTAAACCTTTTTTAAATTAACTATACTGGCAATTTTGTCTGTTCTCATGGAATGTAGGTATGAAGATGTTCCTTTCCCTCTCCCTTTCCCCTAATTTGGATACCTCTGTTCTATAAATTCCAGATTTACAGTGGCTGAACACTGAAGGTCCTATTTCTCTTCACGAAGACCTTTGTGGAAAAGTGGTGGTGTTGGATTTCTTTACTTACTGCTGCATCAATTGTTTGCACTTGCTGCCCGATCTCCATGCCCTAGAGCATCAGTACTCTGATAAAGGTAAAAGTGCTTTGGCTTGCCTGGAATAGAATTTCCTGGCAGTGTTGCAGGTGGAGTAGCTGAGTCATTTTGTTGCTCATTACTAAAAGCTGGCGGAAGTTCAGGGAGGCCTAAAAGTGTCTTATAATCTTTTATGTAACCTGGTAAAAGTGACTGATTGTACCCCCATCACATTCTTAAATGAGGTTAAATAAGGTAGCTACTGTGTCTGTATAATTAAAGAATTGGGATATGTATTTAAAGCCCAATTCTGATTTTATAAAAGGAGCTGTTTGAAGAATGCTGCACAAGGATGTGTTACAGGCTCAAGATTAATGTGTGTAACCCTGTGCATTTGACTTAGAAGCTGAAAAACTTAGCTGTTTGCTTCAGATTAATTTGAGATCTAGTGTGATGGTTCCAAATATAAGGAACTTTATCTAATGAAAAAAAATGCCCAGAATTTTTGTGAGGAGAGAAACTGTTTTAAGTGGGAAGGTAGTTAATGAATTTAAAATGGTCCACTCTGAACATCAGTTATGCTGGAGAACAAGGTCTGAATTGAGATTTCAGAAGATTACAGTGATTGCATAACAAACAATATTTTAAATTGTAAACATTCTGTACTATGGTACTACATGTTATTGTATTCTGTAATATCAGTATCTCTCTTACATATTTAATCTTTTTTTTTTTTAAGAGCAATTGGTAACAAAAGGTTGGTTCCTAACAACCTCTTCCTACAAACTTGCTCCCTAAAATACTTGAACGTCTCTTGTTTTGGTGGATAAATACCGAATTCATAATCAAGTTGGAGATGTGTTTGGTGGGGCTTTTTTGTTTGTTTGTTTGCTTGTTTGGGGTTTTTTGGTTTGTTTTGCATTTGCATTTTATTAAGCTTATGGTCATAAGAATTATTACTTGAAGAAAATACTTTCCTGATAGATTATATGTTTAGATGATTTCTCCTTTTTGTAGGTTTTTTGATTTTTTTTTTGTTTGTTTGTTTTGTATTTGAGCTTTGCTGTTGTTTCCTGCAGGAACTGGAGGTAGAACAAAAACATTTGGAATAAAAATGGAGCGTTAAGGTGGAAGTAGAAGGAGATGAGGGTGGGTGTGTGGCATGTTAATCTTACATGTAATGTGTTAGGTAAAAGAGGCTAGCAGCTGGGCTCAGGAAGAGATGAATATGTTTGTATGGTTCAAACAAACAAAAAGGAAAATATGATCATCTTAACTGTAGCTTTCCCTTTTAGTTCTTTTTAGTTTTTTTTTTTCCTGTGTAAATTGTGAGCCTTTGGTGGATTATTAAATTGTTAACTGCATGAATTCTAATATTACAGTGGTATAAAGCTATAAATGGTTATATGTATGTAGAGATACATCAAGGCAAAAAGGGCTGAGGTTTTTTTTTTTTTTTTTTTTAGCTATAGACATTGTCAATGTGTGTCTTCACTGAAGGGGGAAAAATGCTTATCAGTTACCAGAGGAAAGAGGAGAGGAGAGCTGGCTTGAGAAAAGTAGAGTTCAGAAGAATAAGGTTAAACACAAAGGATGCCTGACATAAGGAAAAAAAAGAAAACAAATGAAAACAAAATTCAAGATAAATGGATTCAAGTGCCTTGGTGTTCTGTGCCTTATGCTAGAGTTTCAATCCCTTTCAATATGTGGTGTTCAGTTAAGGGAAGTCCTTTCTCCCTTGGGGTGAGGGGAAGGGGGGACAGCTTCACTTTCAGTTGCATGAGTTATGCAATGTGTATCACACTGCTATTGCACAAATGCCAAGTTTGATGCAAATACCTAGATGGCTCCTTTTTAGGGCAGCATGTTGGGTTAAACAATGAAACTGCAGCTTTACAAAACTTCAGGTGTATAAATATAGGATGTATTTGCAGGGTCAATCTACATATTTACAGTGCAATGGAAATAACAGAGGGTGCTGATCTATCTGACAAGATTATCTGGAATGAAAACAGTCGTCTTGTTTTGCTAAAGCATCTATCTCAAAGTGCATTAAGATTTTTTTTAATCCGTTGTTGGAATATCTGAAAGAACATTTCCTATATCTTTCTGGTTAACTGAGGACACATTCTCATAGCAGTGTAAGTCATGGCAGTATCTTTTTTTCTTTGACTCTTCACCGGGTACATAAACTTTTGATATTCTGATAATGTTTTTATTGTTCACATGGTGTAAGTACCCTCTTACGCAGGAGTATGCTGGAACGTCAGCAATGTGATAATCAGACAGGAGATGTGCAAACACAAGAAGCTCTTGTTTTAGGATGGTTGCAACTGTCAAATATGTCTTTGTGCATATGCACATGTTCTTATTGTCTGGAACTTCAGTAGGTTTGTCTCAAAGATTACTTTCCATAGAATTAAATGGCTGCTTAGCATCTTTATCTGATATGCTCTTGCTGCTATCTTCAGTGGTGCTATTTCTGTTTTCATAGTGGCATTCAGAAAGTTATTTTAAACCTCGGTGCATATTCAGTTCATGTTATCAGCAGTCCAGAAATGACTTCTATAAGAGGGAGTACTTTTTATATATTCAGAAATAGCTTGGCAGACATCCAGTCTTATGCTCTGGCATAATCCTTCAAATAATGTGTTTGAAATGGTGCGCATATTCCTACAGCCTACAGTAAGATTTGTGAGTTCCCCCAGGAGTTTTCTTCACGAGATGATGTTTTATCCGATTTGTGCTGTGCAGGTGCCGAGTACAGAGCTGCTCTAGCTATGCTGCTGCTTCAGAAGGGCAAGTGGAAGGGCTGCTGCTGACACTCGCACAGTGGAAATGTTTGACATGCTGTTGGAATTCAACAGTTTATGATATTACAACTTTAACTATCTGATGTTGCAACAGGTTGTGCTTTTGGGGTTAGCAAAGACTGTGTCAGTTATAGTGATTTTGTAATCCCTAAACCTGTTCTGTTCAACTAAGTTTTATTGCTTTCTTGCTATGCGATTTTCTTCTCTCCTATTCTTACAATGAAATATGGGCATTCTTGCAGGTGTTACACTTCTTCATTGATACTGTGTTATGGCTGAGGGAAGAGAAAGACTAGAAGAGAAAAATAGTTTCCCTTTTCTCTATAACCAAAGAATAAAACCTGAAATTGAACTTGTCCTTTAGAAGAAACTCCCCAAAGCTCAAATAATACAACTATTTAAGACCCGAAGTAACTGCTTTTCTTACATTTCTGCCACAAAAACAACAAAGTAGATCACTTAAAATATGGAGTTTGTTGCCAAAACAATAATGACTTTGGCAGTGCTCCATTATTGCAGAGATAATTCATCAAATTCTTGCAGTGCAGTGTGCATTACAGCAGAAGATTCTTTTTCCCTGAATAGGTGTCAGACAGTCATATTGTGTCTTGGAACACTGAGTCTCAAGGGAGTTTTTATGCCTTGGTTTTGTATTGTATAATACACTTAAAAAGAGAACAGCTGCATTTTTCTGTCAACTTTATTTTGTGTGTGTGTGTAATATTAATTATATGCGGTGCTATGAAGTTAGTCGATAGTCTGTATTACATAATTTACTTAAGCTTCAAAACTCCTGGAAGTGCAGTGCAGGCATTAGAAGCACTATAGTGGTTCATGGTGGCAGTGCTTTCATGATGCGGAGCTGCGAGAAATCTTAAATGCCTCATTCTGTCCTGATGGCTGCGAGCAACAGACTCTGTGTAAATGGCTGTGTTCTGAAATTTAGTCCAGTGTTACCAGTCCTCTGAAGTTTTAAGTAGTCATCACAGAATTTGCAGGTTACTTTACAGGTTACCAGGTTAAGAAGGTTATGCTTAATAATATTTTTCACCTATGGAGAGAGATGAGGTATAATATTTATGTCATGTACATTACTTGCTCCATTTGGTAGAGATTTTGCTGGTAAAATATATATATATATATATATTTTAAGTGCGTAGTCTTTGTTTTGCTCCTAAAGAGTACTGCAAAGTGACTTGATTAAAAGAAGATTCTTCGTTCTCTTTCTGTTGGGTTAAGGTAGGGGGGATGGAAAATTTGGGGCTGCTTGCACAATATCTACATGTGCTAGAAGTGAGTTAATTTGCTTTTATCACACAAAAAAGCTAAAATCTGAGCCACAGACTTTTATTTCTGTGCCTGTTTTCATGAAACTGAAAAATAAGCAATTCAGAGAAGTTGATTGCTTCCTTGTGTGCTTTTAGTGGATATTAGGTTTGCCGGTGTATATGCAATGTATATAACATAATTATGTTTTGTTCTTATGCAACACTTTTCATATTAGGATCTCAAGTGAAGTTATCCTTAATATGGCAAAAATAAACTCTTTATTGTCTTTATAGGACAAATACAGAAATTAATTTAAACGTGTAAAGAAGGGGCAAAAACCTATATTGAGCCTTTCTTTTATAAAAAGAGGTTTTTGAGCCTGATTTGTCACAAGTACTCTTTGTCGTAGTTTTCAGTGCTGTTAGTTTAGTTGAAATATACAATACAGTATTGATTTCAGAAGCCTATATGTTTTTTTCCACTATTTATCTAGAGATGGAAATTCCAGGATAATTGTGGACTTCTAGAGTTGAATGTTAAATTAGTGACTCCTAGTTAATAGTGGAAAATAATTCATTTTGTTAGAAAAAAAGGATAATTGTGTTGGGGAAGCAAAAGACAAAGAGGTATGATAAACACTTGAAAAATTAAAGTAGCAGGTGAACTATTCAGCTTACTTGTTATTTTGAAAGCAATTTCTGCCTTTTTATGTTGAGGTTCATGAATTACAAACAATTTATGCCATATTAAATGTCAGCCAGCTGGGGAAGTAATGGTACTCAAGCTCAGTACTTTTACTGATGATTTATTTCTGAGTTTCAATATTTTGTATACATAGCTATATTCCTACTGAGATCTAATGATTCATATTCGTTCAAATCATCTTTCATTCTGGAAGGCGGTAGGTCATACTGTGAGATGTCTGTGCTTCATTTTTACTTTTTTAAACTGAATTCAGACACAAATATGACTCAGTGCAAATCTTTTCCTTTCAGATGGTCTTGTTATTGTTGGTGTCCATTCAGCGAAATTCCCAAATGAAAAGGTTCTGGATAACATCAAAAGTGCAGTTCTGAGGTATAATATTGCCCACCCAGTAGTAAACGATGCAGATGCGACACTTTGGCATGAACTGGAGGTGTCCTGCTGGCCAACTCTTGTCATTCTTGGGCCTCGAGGAAACATCCTGTTTTCACTTGTTGGAGAGGGGCACAAAGAGAAGTTGTTTTTATTTATTTCTGTAACTCTGAAGTTCTACAAAGAGAGAGGACAAATCAAGGATAACAGAATTGCAATCAAGCTATACAGAGACTCCCTCCCACCTTCTCCCTTGCTATTTCCTAGCAAAGTTACTGTAGATAATTCAGGAGAAAGATTAGTAATAGCAGACACTGGACATCACAGGATTTTGGTTACCCGGAAAAATGGGCAAATTCTACACACTATTGGAGGTAAGGTTATGCAAGTTTCTTATAGTAAGTTGATTTTATAAATGGAGTATATTCTCTGGGGTTACTGGTCTGGTACTTTTCTTAGAGCTTTTCTTATGACAACTCTTTTTTTCCTTAGAGCTTTTATCAGTTTATATTGGTAGCAAAAACAATGTCTAAAATAACTTGTAGTGGATATTGGGGTGATGCAGCTGGTTGAGTTGACTGATATATTTTTTCTTTGTTTTGTTGCCTGAGTTTAGTATTTTTTATGCCATGTCCAACATGAAGCACAAATTACATGTTCTGTAGTCTTATGTAAGAGTTGCACGTGGCCTTAGATTTAATTGATTTACGCCCACGTACATGCCAGTAGCATGGCAGGGATAAGACACGATAATGTCTCCTGTCTCAGTAGATTTTTTTTTTTTTTTGGCGTATGTGTGCTTTGAAAAGAAGCATCCCTCTGCAGAAACTCTGGTTTCTTATCAAAATTCAAGTGTAACATGCAAACAAGTTATCAAAGTAGAGAAAAGAAAAGTAAATTTGAAATACTTAAATACTTTAATTGCAAACCTTTTACGAGTAACATTTCTACTTTTGCTGACATCTACTATTAATGTACTTTGGATGTTTCCCCCTTTAAAATATGATGCTTACCTTCGCACTGTTTTGTTCGGGTCAAGGTCTTTTCTCTTTCTCGATTATGCTGTGCAGAAGACTGTCACTCCATTATTCTCACTCTTCTGTCATGTAATTAGTTTCCTGTCATCTTTTTTTGCTAATTATTATTCATCAGAAAATGCTGCTGAGTATTTTCATTTGAAACTTGTACCAAAAAATATATCATTGAAATGAAACTGAGTTTTGACATTTAAAGTCTTCGCTGCTGACTTGCTTTGATGCAATCAGGAATAAAAAAATCTACTTTTTTTTTTTCCTCTTGTTCCTGTTGTTTCCTTATGAAAAAGCAACAATATAGACCCGTATTAAGTTCTCTTTTTAGAGAACGAAGCCAAAGATGCAAGGAGCTTAGAGTGGAAAAACGTAGTAGCGCCTAATTGTTGTCATAGTCACAAAACATGGTGACTAAAATGAGATTCTCACATATTTATAACATGCTATACAAGGTGCTATGAAAGAATCTTTTAGAATATGTAATTATCTTATAGATTTAAATATATGCACTTTGATTATTTTTAAGTTCTTCTTTCAAAAACAACTTTTGCGTTTGCTTTTTTTCTTTGATAGGTCCAAACAGCGGAAGAAGAGATGGAAGATTTTCAGAGGCAGCTTTCAACTCACCTCAGGGGATTGCTATAAAAAATAATGTGATTTATGTAGCTGATACAGAAAATCATCTAATTAGAAAGGTAATTTTCCTATATGACAGTACCTTCTCCCACCTACACAGATGAAAATTTATACCCTGTTAATTATTTTACAAATACTTTCTCTAGCAAGAATATAAATAAATGCTGTAGTGCAGTTTGTTTTTTAAAGGACGACATATGTATTTATACATCCTTTCAAATGGAGATGATATGCACTGCTTGTTCTAACATAGCTGGTTTGTTTGTTTGATTTTTCTCTAGTGTTTCTTGCTTTCCTGTTTTGAGAAACTTCTTTTCTTAGTATTGGAAACAAATTATTTTTGCTTCACTTCAAAATAGTCAGTTTCTTACCAAAAGGTACCGTTCTCTTGAGGTGCAGTGATTTCTGCTCCTTTGTTACTCAGCTGCTGGGGCCTACAAATGGCAGGGAACTGATTTATTTTGAGAACTGTCTACACGGGGGGTGTTTTAGATTAAACACAAGGTTTTAGCACACTATCCAGTATAAGTTGTAGCTGGATCTTAAATTTGATTACATGAAATTTAAAGTAGTTAGAAGTTAAATTTGCTGAAGCAATAATGTATTGCCTTATTAATAAAAATATTTTATGCCTGTCCAGAACATCTTGTACGTAGATCCTAACCAGTATTTGGGTTTCTGATTCATTATCTCAGGAGGTATTTACTAATTTGGGATATATTTGTACTGTGTTTTTGGCTAATTTTGTAGCACTAATCTACAAATTCTCCCTACTGTTTACATGCTAGTTTGCTCCAAAGCTTTTTTTTATTGAAAGGGACCAAGGTGGTCCTATTGATAAGGGAGCGTTATTGCAGAGAAAAAAAAAAAAAAAAAAGTTCTCATCTTGCTGATTATTCATCATTGTAGCCTGGAGACCGCAGATAATTAAATGGTTTGGGTAACAAAGATAGTACAGGGATGGCTGAAGATTTGAGTCATACTGCTTCAGCATTTTTCATGGCTTCTAAACATACAACATCCCAGGATTAAAGAATTAAGGTAATATAACAGCTACGGGTTCATGCTTTCAACCACTTATGAACTGCTTATGCAAAATACAGTCTGTGTAAAAGGGAGACATTTACTGCTGCAAAAGTTAGAAGATGCTAGGCAGGCAAGACTACGTTTTTGCATAGTTGTCACAATAAAGTCATGAGACTTAACCAGAAGTGACTTAGAAAATGCACAAAAAGGGAAGGAAAGAAAAAGGCAGCAGAAATGGAAAAAAAAATCCTCCAGGGCATGAAATATTTGTAAGTCTTGCTACTGAAATAAACTGCACAAAATGTTTGCTTTGTAGAGATTATTGTATGTATAGATGTGAGATACTGTTGGAGTGTTTGAGGTTTTTATGCTTTATTCCATATGGTATATATGGACATGTATTGTCCGTCTGAATGCTACTCTAGAAAATGTTCGTAATTTTTTCCAAAAGTTCAACCTAACCTTGACAGATCAGGAAGAGAAATACATGGAATTTTCTTTCTCTCTCTCTCTCTTTTCTTTCTTTCTTTTTTTTTTTTCTTTTGTTTGTTTGTTTGTTTGTTTGTTTTGTTTTTGTTGTTGTTGTTGGTTGGTTTGGTTTGGTTTTCTGTCCTATATAAATAAATACCTGAAATTTGTTAGGATTTAGTTTCTTTTTTTGAGCCAAAAATCCTCCATTTGACATTAAGCTCAGATTATCTGTAGTGACTCCGCCTGCTATTGTACACTCAATTTACATAATTTGGTTTCATATAGATTGACCTTGAATCAGAGCTGGTGAGCACTGTAGCAGGCGTTGGGATACAAGGTGTTGACAATGAAGGTGGAGCAAAAGGAGAGCAACAGCCCATCAGCTCCCCGTGGGATGTGGTCTTTGGAAATTCAGGTATTGTATCAGAGAGATTAACTTTTTTTTTATTATTATTTACATCACACATGAATGTGTTGCTCTGTGTTTTCCTTTGTGGTAATCCCGAATTGCAGGAAAAAAAAGTTTTACTTCAATGTACAGCTGAGTTTAAGAAACAGTGATTTCTTTGGGAAAAATATGAGTTATCAAGTTATCAGCTGAAATCAAGTTTCTGTTTTGAGTCTTGAAAAAATGTGGATTTCTATCTAAAACAAAGGTGATATTTTACAGCAAGTTAATAGAAAAGGAAGCTGTGACTGCTAGGTTAGTGCTTTATGCCAGCATCGTTGTAGAAGCATATGCATTTTATAGGAAATGGACATTGTCTAAAAGTTCCCTTTTTGGCTCTACAGACATGTTTGACCATTTGTAAATGTTGTAGTTTGTCACCTATATTTATTACTGTTCAGGTGACATGAAATCATTAGACCGAAGATCATAGCAGATTTAGACTCATAGCAGAGGAGTATCTCAGGAAAAATCTTGCAAGCATCAGGAGTGAAAATGAAATCTTTCCATAGTGAAAAAGATACAAGTAGCATCTTCTAAGGAATTGCTAAGCTTTTCCTTTCCCGATCCACCTAGCACGTTCCTTAGCTTGACATCACATAGTTGTGATGCTGTTAACTGTTACTAGCTGAGAGTTAATATTCTGCTTTCTCGTTTAATTTTCATTTCAATATAATTTAAAAGTCAGAACTGCGAAATTTCTTAACATTGAGCAACCAATCTTTAAATGTGGCATAAAACTCTAGAGCCAGAATTTTTGGTGTAAAACTTGATTGCTTACATTGGTTTTTTTGAACTTGCAGATGAAGGGGTAAGGAAGAGCTTAACAATTGTAGATAACATCTGTTATCTTTAAATTAGAAGTGCTTCGCAGTACTTATAATTAGAAAATTGTCATGACCTGAAAGCATGCTATAATCTTGGTAAGTTACTCGGGAGAAAAAAAAAAAAAAACTCAAAATTAATTTAAGGGAACATAAAGCTATTTCATAAACGCAGATCATTGAAAGTTTTCTGGTGCAAATATGTTCCCAGTAGAAACAATGTGCTTATGTACTTTGACTGCTAAAGCAAGCAGCAGGCACCGTTTTTTAGATGTAATGGTTCTGCTAATGTGACTTCTACAAAAAACAAGCGCAGCACTATGAAACTCTGACCCGATATTGAAACAGTGACCCTGTCACTCAGTCTGCGTTACAGCTGTGGCGTAAGAGCAGTGCCTGAAAGAGAATCTCACCAGCTGTGGCTTGCTGTAAATGAGCAGCTGCATGACTTGTTCTCAGTATTTTCCAACCTCTTTGTGGTCCAATAGACTATTGTGTAGTCAGGTGCTGGCATTTTCATCTGTGTGAGTTACTGTTTCACAGCCCAGCAAGGAAGGAGGCTAATAACTCAGCACAAGTCTTGCCCTGGTGCTTCAGAAACTTAAGCTGATCTGCAGAGCTATTCAAACAGAGCTGTTATTTCACTTATACGCTGTTATTTATCATGATGCCTTCTTCTGCCAATAGCTGATTATCTCTTGTTGATTTTTTTTTAGTTCTGAGAACCCTGTTAAATGAAATGTTAATTGATTGCTATCAATGTGAGCCTAGTCATCCCTGAGTTAGTCACCTCTGGAAATTAGTCACCCATAGTGTTTAACATTGACTGCTTTTTGTCACTGTTAGTATGAAATTCAGATCTCTAAACGCACAGTTCAGAGCAATATAGATTTTTTTTTCAGATTCAGTTAGATCCTATCTGTTAGTTGTCTATTTAGATCTCTATCAAAACAGTACAACCTGCAAGTTAGAGGAGATGAAATCAATTTTGTTTCGTTCTCTGAGAGAGTAATAGGCCAAGTACCTATCCATCTATTTGATTTATTTTTTTAAGACTTTAGATACCGTTTTGTGTGAGCAAAATGAGCTAGGGAAATAGACTTGATAAAATTACTGTGATACTTGTATAAAATTGTTTAGAAAACTGTGATTAGAGAGACTACAAAATAGAGGATTACTGAGTACTACCCTGACAGGAATCTGTTCATGATCCCAGTAACACCTGAGTGGAAAGGATAGCCAGTGAAATGATGAAAAGATAAGTTCAAAATGACTTAGATTCCCTGGAAGTATTCCCTAAGGAAAAAAAAATGTGTTATTTAGTATGCAGAAGGTTCTTCATGTACAAAGGAATGATAAAATGTAATATATACCCTGGATAGATACCTTGGAGTAACATGTTTTGCGGGCTGAGTTTTAGTCATTTCAAGATTAATTCAATTTTGTAAAGAAAATACCTCACGTGTGAAATCAGCCATTCTAATGTTGCAGAAAATAGAGAAATCCTTTTAAAAAAGCCTTGCATATAATGAGGTAAAGTTATATTCACTATTAAGATTACATATAAAAATATCCACTTAGCACTGCTGCTTTCTGTCTTTTCCTTTTGCAGAGAAAACATGGAAAAGCTGGTGCAAAGCACAGAGAGTTTTTGGCTGTATGATCCTAGGGTAGAGTATCCCAGTCCTGCATGCTCCAATATCACCTCCTCCTGTGTTCCCTAAGGCTGCAAATTTCTTGCAGGGAACCACCTCAGTGCCTCCCCCTCATATTCTTTCAAAACAGCCTAGTACTGCCAAAGCTTCATTAGTTCAGCCATGGCTGTTCTTCCCAGTGCAGCCTTTTTGAATCCTTGCATGTGACAGCATGATGCCACACTTGTTTGAATAGGTTTATGAAACATTATGTGAAAATTAAGTCACATCACAAGTGATAAAGTTGAAATGGAATGTTTATGGTTGGGCTCAGTGCAGCAATCTGTATAATCTGTGGTTTAGGGGAGGATTTTGGAGGATTTAGCCCAATGCCCTAGAATGAAATGTGTCAAAATACACCTAGCAATGGCGAGCTTCTAGCAGAAGTACTTCCTGGGGCACGTGCAGAATTTTGGCGGTGCCAGTTTGGGCATTTTAAGACAAGAGTTTTTTAAGGAACCAGGACTACAGGATGCAATTTAAATCGCCAATTTCAAGGACCAGTTGGAGGAATCATATAAAGGAGGTCTGGGCAGGAACGTGAATGGTGCATGTCGTCTCAAGACAGTGCAAACACAGTGAGAATGTGCATGAGAACCAGGGCTGTGTGTCGCAGCCTGCAGTGCGTTGCCCTCAGAGCATTGATGCAGCTCTGAGTCACAGAATATCAAAATAGCTCATCACCAGTGCAGGAGGGTTTGTCAAAGCTATATTGCTACTGCAAATTGCTGGAGCCTGGTGGGCTCCTCTGCTAAGTCATAGCACCCGTTCATCGTTCAGCAGACGTGCAGGAAGCTCTGTAGGAAATCAAGGCCAAACAGAGTTCTGTGCCAGGGCAGGGACTGGCCTTCTGTTGGTGATTCTCAGTGTGCTGCTGTCCTACCACAAGTGCATCTGCTCTGTTGATAACATGCTGTTTTTCAGTACACTAATGTCTACGAATGAATTTGGATGGATGGTCTGAATTTGGATGGAATTGATCTATTTTCAGAAGTTACTTATGTTTGTGTTCACCCAGCGATGCCCACGTGCCGTGTTGTTTACATGTGCTTATGTGCATCTCTGTGCAAATTTGAGGAGGTTGTATAAACTTCAGAAGGTTAAGGTTCATTATTCCATCTAAGTTAGATTTTTGTGTCAACTGGCATGGCAATGAAATGGATTCATTTCCATTTTCCTTAGAAATACATACCTTAAGGTATGCACAAGAGGATTTTTTTTTCAGAACTCAGATCCATGGATTTTATACTTTTTAGAGCAAGCGGTGCTTCCGTGAGCTTTCTTTTAATGCTCAGAGCCATGCAGTCCAGAACATAAAAGGCATAAGAAGAAAAGCTTAAATGCTTAAGCTCTTTATGTGCTATGCGAGACAATTATAGTGTTAAACTGCTTATACTGGTGTCTTTCAAAATCTCAAAGGGAAAGGTTATCTCCTAAAAGTTAAACTTCTTTTCCATGTTAACTATATTTCTTAAAACGTTACTTCTCTTAATATAATTTAGATGATGTATTGGTAAATTAAAATACTTACTTGTTTGCATGTTTATTTTAATATATGAATTATTTTTGCAATGACATGAGCTTAAATTATGGTCTAAAATATGCCATTTAAAGAACCAAGAAATGTCCTTGCTAATATTAGGACACTATACTCACAAATCATTATTGCTCTGACATGGTTGGTTTCAAAGATATGAATTAAATACACAGTTCAGTTGCTGGATTCCAGAAGACATCAGGCCTGATGCAAAACCTATGGAAGTCATCAGTTCTTTTCCTGACGTCTGTCTTGGACATTCAGGAAGGTTATTTTATATCATCAATAGAAAATAATTCACTTGTCATTTTGAGTGAATGACATTTTTTGCATTAATTTGAGCTCCAAGTATAGTAAAAATCAGATTTCTCAATCTCTTATGAAGCTGAGCACTGTAGTGTCTGGTCTTAGTCTGCTCACATTGAAAATCCTTCTAAGAATTCATAAGGATGAAGTCGACAGATATCAGACAAACAAAACCAAGACCTGAAAGGATATGAAGACATCTTTATCAAAACCAAATGTATCCATTAGTTGGCAGCTTTGTAATTTGAATTTGCTTTGTATACATTTGCAAGATAACAGTATTGAGAAAAATGTTTTTGTGGGATCATTCTTAGAACAGATATTAGCAAGTATCTCAGCATGCTTTTAACCAAGCCTCACAGTATTTACATGAGATAGTAAGCTTTGTTTCCTCATTTGGTACAGATGTGGAAGACTAAAACAGAGAGATTAAGTGACTGTGAAATACCATTTAAAAGAAAGTTGACACAATTGTCTCCCTTTAAGGTAGGGGAATTAATGGAGACAAAACACAGAGTAGGATTCAGACAGGCAGTGTTGTTGTTTGTCGTATTTTTAGTTGCTTTAGTTTTGTTTTACCCTCTCTTAAAAATTCTTGAGTAAACTCCTTGGATTGCATTCTGGCTTTGTTGAAATTGATCCTGAAACTGGAATTGACATAAATTGTATAGGAAATGCAAAATATAAGGTCAGCAGTTTAAAAATACATTAATAAATTAATTACTATGTGTTGAGGTTTCGGGTTTTTTTTTTTTAACGCTTTCTGTAGTCCTCTTCTATTTTTATTCAGTGGGTGTTGAAAGCAAGTGATGCTTAAATGCACAGTTGATCTAAGTGTGAAATGTTCCTGATAGCTGCATTCTTGCTGGAAGGAACAGAACGATGACCTGTGCATGGTGACATAACTGTGTGGTTTAGATTCCAAAATCGTCCAAAACCTTGTCTTGATTGCCGAACTGTTTGTAGAAATTCCCAAGTACAGTATTGACCGTGTTTTAAAAAATGAGTTGGAAATTTGCCCTTCGAAGATCTAAAATAAATCTGAAATAGGTGTAACATAGATACTGTTTAAATGAAAGTGTGGTAGCTATCTTGATGGTACAAACTTTATAGCCCTTAAAAAGTAAAAGTATGTAAGATTTTCTCCATGTTTCTTTATGTCTTTCTATATATCTCTTCCAGTCTTGTTTCATCCTGGCGCTGATGTTCTAATCTTCTTTGCTTTGTGAAAGGAATCTCCCCTGGTAGTAGCTGAAAATAAGAGCTGCTTCGGAGAGCATCAGGGATTAATTTTGAATCATGTTTCTCTACAGCTCAAACTTTGCACTACCCTAAATACATAAATTGTGCTACAGTGAGTGCCCTAGAAAGGTCAGCATTACTAGGAACATGTTTACAGTGGAATATGGATGTGCCAGGACTGCAAGTCCTTGAAAGCACGGATACGTAGCAGAGGTGGGTTTAGGAACGGGAAGAGCACGGAAGTTCAGTACAGTGTAATGCTGCCATATGGAACCAAAGTGCATTCAATGCTTTCGTGCATTATTAGTGAATCTTTGTAACATAAGTGTATCACATTTACAAGCCATACTTTGCTTTGATACAGACAGCCCTAAAGATAAGAAAGTACATATCCTAATAAGGAGAAACCACACTGCATTTAAAGACAGCTTGAGATAGTTTGGAATGTGGGGCTTAATTGAATAAATGTAGAAGAATTACTTTGTTCTTTTATGCTGCTTTGTAATAAATTCTTTTAAAAATAAATTCCTTCCATTCAGGGATGATAAGGAGCAATTGGTGGCATTATCATAGCTTTTAGCATGTTTGTTCTCCCTGCCCCTCCTTCTCCTATGAGGACAGTAGAAGGACACTGGTGACACATCCCCAAACTGTTTTCCCCTCAAAGAATGTTTTCTATCTTCTGCTTTAGAACTTTAAACATGAAATTCCATATTGTCAGGACCGTCATGTGATAAAATACGCAACCACAGGCATTGTTTTTACTTCTCCACTTTGTATAATTTTCTGGTTAAAGCTGTGACGTATTTTTCACAATTCAGGGTACGCATTCTGTTTCCATGTTTGTATCCATGCTCTTGCTTCTACTTGCTATCCAGAAGAAAATATTTAACTTTCATAATAATTTAAAACAGTTAAAAGTTTCTTTCTTATTTTTCCTGTCTTGTCATCTAGTTGAAGAAAGAACCTTCGCTCCATTGATCTTACATATTCAGTAAAATTTGAAATTAATATTGATACTTTCTTCTTGTATTTTGTGTTTGATAAGCCTTTCAGTGTGTATAATTGGGATAAGGTGTCTCTTTAATTTTTCTACTTCTGGCTGTCGCAAGGGTTCTTAGTGTGAAGAGGTAAAAAAAAATGATCCATGCAATAGATTTTCTGAAGTGCTCATCTCTATTCTCAGTGTTCCATTTCATTGATGGATAAAGTGGGTATTAAATATTTAACAAAGCACTTTGCAGCCTTCAGAATAGCATAAATGCAATATAAAAAGTCCATTTTCTGAATTAACCAGTGTTTTTAACACTGCATGTTATGCAGTACTGTGAATAGCAGCATCTAAATAACGCAAACTATGCAGCATAGAAACATAAAATCCCAGGAGCTGAACATGTGCTCTATAGGAGGTAGTCAGATGATTGCCTAGCCTGTTTTCTTCATCAAGTCTCTTAAAAACAAGTTTTAATCAAAGATTATCCCGTGGAGGTTTTCAGGATTTTTTTCTTTTTGGCATTCCTAGTACTTTCTTAGCACGTCTGGTGATTTGTAGAATATTTGTTTTCCAGATCATTTTGCGAACCTCTTCACTCATCAAAAGCTATGGAAGTTTAGCTTTTATTTTTGGGTTTGCATAAAAATATGGAGCATGTGGAGATGTAGGAGAGATTCAGCTGAGTTCTTCTTCATCACAGGCTTGGAAACTTGTATCTTGATTCCAGAAGAAGGGAAGGCTGGAGATAAAATACATTGATATATATATTAATGCTACTCTTAAACTGGTTGAAGTGAGGGGCAGCTGTTTCTGTAGACAGAAGGGCACTGTTTTTCTTCTAACACATGATGTAAGAATGCTTGAGAAGTGGAAGATGCAAGGATCTCAGTTTGAGGAATGGAAATAATTTTATTATAGGAAGACTGATTTGGTCAAACTTTCAAGGTTTAAAATGTTTGCAAGCATTTCGTATAAAATTACTTGCATTCCGAAACTACAAAGTAAGAGGGGCTGCTGTTTGTTGCAAGGAACAGTGCTGTGGAAGCACTGTTTTAGAAGATTGTGCGAATAAAAAGTTTCTGTGAGCATTTGGAAGATAATTTTATTTTGACTGGCTAAAGTTATTTCAATATCTGTTATATGGATTTAGAAAAACTTTTTTTATTTTGTTTTTGACTAGATGGAACAGTTCTGTATTGTATATATAGTGTTAGGAAGATAACACTGTACATTTTAAATGTTTAAATGTCATTTTTCTGTTCTTAAATTATTCGGAAAAAAGCTAAGTAAATTCTTTTTTTTTTTCTTTTAAATGGCCTTTCACTGTTTTCCTGCCTTCTTTGTTATGCTGCGATATGATCTGTTTTAAGCTATAGAACAGTGATGTGGTCTTTTGTTTTGATTTTTATCATTTTATCTGGGAAATATTGTCTGGTCAAGTTGGTCTATAAGTTTGGATTGGTTTTACACTTTATGAGTTGAAAAAGAACAGATACACATTTGAACACTTTTTGGTCAGATCCCTTTTTCAAGCTCTGCATCTTTATGATACTGCATGTACAAATACACACAGAGAAGGAATCACTTGGAAACTCGTTAGAGGGAAGCTGGTGCTTGCACACATGACACTTAATCTTTGAATACCCAGCAGTTGTTATTCTCTGCAGCATAAATCTACCTGACAGTGAAGCACTAGTTGCTCTTATCTTGAAAACAATTACCCTGTCTAAGCTACCATTAGTGTTACCACTGACTGACTTCAGTGGGATTGCTAGGTTAATAGAACATGTGAATTTGAAGGATAAAAGATCTGTAATTAAAACCAGCAAATGATCTGAAAGATACTGCGACTGTGATTTCTCACAAACCCTGGAAACAATGGCCAATAGTTGTTTGGAATATTGAACTTTGCTGCTAATTTACTAAATTATATGTGTGTGTATATATATATACACATATACATGCTTAACAGACACATGTGTATATTTGTTAACCAGTATGAATCCAAAAATAACAGGTGAAATGAACTCAACAGCAAAATCATGCAAGCAGCAAATCCCATTTGAGGTATTGTCTTTGCCAGAGATATCAGAGAAATATTTTATAATTGTGGAAAGAGAACAGAGGAATAAAGGCACCGTGTCCCATGGCAAGGGACGTGACTAGGTGGGCAAGGTCAGGGCTGGTTTGTTGACTTCTTGCTTTTTAAAACGTGCCCAAAGGACTTATTTTCCCTCCTGTTTCTATACATCTTTTTTTTAAAAAGTTTCAGGTTCCCAGGAAGATGGTGTTTTATGGATAGCCATGGCAGGCACTCATCAGATCTGGGCACTGATGTTAGAAGATGGAAAACTACCAAAGGGAAGGTAAGCAGTTTTAATGAGAGATGTAAGGAATTGCTGTTTGTTTGATAAATAGCCTTCAAACCCCAGAGAGAGATAAACACGTTAAATAATTTCCCTCAGCCTGTGCTTAGCTTGAAGTTTGCTGCTTCTCTTCAGACTTAAAAGGCTTCTGCACTTGAAAGTCTGCCTGTTTGTTTTTTTTCTCCACATAAGTTAGATGAAAAGGAAGATACTACTTTTGCTATAAACCCATGACTTGGTAAACCACATTCATATTACTGGAATATTACATATTGCTTTTCATTGCATTTGCTGGATTTTTCAGTGATGAATGATAAACTAAGGTGAACTAAATGAAATAAAAATGGTGAAATAAAAGCTAGCACAGAGGAAATTTGGATAATTCGTTGTGTTACAGTACAGATGCTCACGTGCTTTTCCTGCAGCTTCAGTTTATATATAATGTCTAAAGTATTTCATACGTATTCGTGAACGTGGATGCCATTTTCCTTCAGCGATTTAAAAAAAGGAGTCTGCCTTCGATTCGCTGGGAGTGGGAATGAGGAGAACAGAAACAACGCGTACCCACATAAGGCTGGCTTCTCACAGCCTTCGGGTCTCTCCCTGGCTTCTGAAGATCCCTGGAATTGCCTCTTTGTAGCCGACAGCGAGAGCAGCACAGTGCGAACGGTCTCTCTGAAAGACGGAGCAGTGAAGCACCTTGTAGGAGGCGAGAGAGATCCATTGGTAATGACTTCCACCTTCCCCACACTGCCCTACTAATATTCCTCGAGCCTGACCTGGAAGAGCCACTTTTGGGGTGAGAGGGTAACTCGGTTTCCATGGCCATCCATTGCTTAACTTCACTGCTTGCAATGCAAATGTGTGCCAGTCGTGGTGCTCAGTTGTAGTGCAGATTGTACCCCCAGGGGCTCCATCACTTATAAAACGGCCAACTATAGCTGGCATTGCCTCTTGTATAAAGTCAGCTGTATTCATATTAATAACCTAACTGTCCTCATCTCGATTTTGGTGGTCAGTGTCCGTAGTTCCCAGGTCTCGATATACTTGTTTTGAAGTTGTCTTATTTTGTTTTTAGTCAGTTAACTTCCATTTAATTATAATAATTTAAGTTTGTCAGCACTGAGTGATCAAATTTAAATTTAATGACATCCTTCTTTAGAATTTGTTTGCCTTTGGTGATGTGGATGGAGCAGGCATAAATGTAAAGTTGCAGCATCCTCTAGGAGTAACCTGGGACAAGAAAAGAAAACTGCTGTATGTGGCTGATTCCTATAATCATAAGGTAAGCACATAGGAGCATATAGCACACCATTTTACAGCTCTTAGAACCATGAGAGAAAATTTTAAAAACATACAAAGATTGTGTTTGGAGGAGCTGAAGAAACAAATGATATTACCTCTTTTGTAGGTTCCTTTCTGTTCCTTCCCGTTCTTTCCCTTGTGGGTCTTTCTCTTGACCCCATTTTTTTTGTTAGCACTTATTGTACAGCTATGATGGCCTCTTTGATACTACAGTTTGCTAAAACTTGTAGTCCAAAAGGACTTGCCTTTAAATTTCCTTAAAAAAGACATATATATTTTGGAGGAGAAATATTGTGGGTTACTCCTATAAAATCGAGTCATTCAGTTATATGGAAGGTTGTGTTGTGTGATACCAGCTTGTTAACATTTACCTTGATTAAATGCACTAAGAAAAAAAAATGTTTTATTTTCATTTGAAGAGTAAAATATATACTCCAAATTAGCCCACCATTTTTTTTTATGGTTCAACCATTTTGAAAATGTTTCCAGAAAACTTCCAATGTAAGAGAAACATGCCAGTTGGCACACTTACATGGCAAAGGGGTAGGTGGTGTAGAAGGGAAAAAACAAACACTTAATAATGACCAGTAAATGCCATTGGGGAAATCGAGGAGAAATAATGAAGGTATTTTTTGTTAAAGGATGGTGCCCTAGCAGCCACATAGTTGATAAGTGTCTATCCTTGAAGCTAAGGTACTCGAAGTTAATGGTAGCTTCTGAAAATGTTGGGCATGAGAAAATACAGAAGCTTTAAATACCAGTGACTTTTTTCCTCAGATTGGTTTGTTTGTTTGTTTATCTTAGATTAAGGTTGTAGATCCCAAAACGAAGAACTGTGCCACCCTGGCAGGCACAGGAGAAGCAAGCAATGTTACTGCTTCCAGCTTTACAGAGTCAACTTTTAATGAACCAGGAGGTCTATGTGTTGAGGAAAGCGGCCGCTTGATGTACGTTGCAGACACAAATAACCATCAGATTAAAGTGCTGGATTTGGAAACAAGAATTCTTTCCACGGCAAGTAATATTTATTAAGCGTGCTAATACTGGTATTTCTTGGTATAAATTGCTACTAGAGACTTTGGTAAGTGGTATAAAAGTCAAGTAGCTAGAGATTTTTTGATATCATTCTTATATTCACATAATATTTTGTGGCAAGATGTGTTTTGGCAAACACACATGGTTTGTTAGCACGGTGAATGCAAGGCACCTTCTCCTTGTGCTTTGCCTTTCTGTCGAGATCATCTTGCAATATCTTGTGGTTCATTTTGCACATTATTTTTACTTGATCTTATATCTGTTGACATTGTTATCTCTATTAAGATAAAACAAATAAAGATAAGAAAATTTGCAACACTGAACTGGAGAGCAATGTCCATAATATCCTTAGGTTATTTAAAGCGGCTGCTTTTGGGAGAGCAGAAGAGCTCTCACTGTTCCCTTGTAGGTTGAAAATTTGAGTTTCTAAAACAGAATTTTTCCAAACCTTTTAAAATTTTGGTACTACAAAGTCTTGTTTTTACTATTACAGTGTTTAACTTTTGAAGCTTGCTTTTAAATGATGTCTAACTTTTAATATGTGCAATGCAAAATTTCTTTTGGGCTTTCAAGCTGTCAAATTAAAACCATTTCAGAATTAAGCACTGCTGTCTTTGCTTATACCACATGAGGGCAAAACAGCTTTGAATTCCTGTCCATTCTATAATGGCTCTGACTGTTTTTGTACAGGTAGGACAGAATGGTCAAAGTATGTTTGTGTAGGTTTAAACTTTCATATTAAATATAGCATTCTGAGAAATAATCCTTTGCTTTGCTGTATAATCTCATGGTGAGAATCTTGTATTTTATTACCTTAGGGTACAGGCAGTACCAGATAAGAGCATACCTGTAATGTTCATTAAACTAAAAATGTAATTAAACTATTATAATTTTAAATTTAAGTATAGTGTAACTAGTGGAAACTTGTAAGTGGTAGACTTATGATTTTAATAACGAATATTACTTTTCTCTATTTTATATATTCATATATCAATTTTATATATTCTAAACTTTTTAAAAATCTGTCCTTTACTGTACTTTTTGTCACTGCAGTCCTGTTACATTCTGTTTTGACATCCACTGGTTTCCCTAGTGCACGTCAACTATGAATATGTGATTGTGCTGTGCTCTACAGCACAGATTAAAAAATAATATTTTGTTTGATTTCTGCTGACAGTTGCCTATCCTGAATCCAGGAGCATGTGATGTTCCAGATCATCAATCTGTACAAAGTGATAAAACAGCAAACCTTCCAAAACTGCCTAAATCTTCACCAAACATTCAACTTCCTTCACTGGCTGTAAGTCCTGGCCAGACAATTCAATTTCTGTTAAAGTTGGCTCTTCCTCCAGATGCAAAACTGAATGAAGAAGCACCTAATTCCTGGTTCATCACAGCAGAAGGTAAATTGTTTGTATTGTCATGGCAGTTGAACTAGAACAGGTAAACTGTGAAGTATGTCATATCATGACATGCCTGTGACACAAGGGATCTCTATCTCATGGACTTAAAATGTCTCTTACAGGCCTTGTGTATTATATTTAGAGAATAGTTGCAGTTTCTGTGTTTAACAGCTGGGAAGGTAATGGCTGTTTTTGCCTGAGTTAACACTTGTTGCATTGACTTTTTTCACAATTGCTTGGAACAAGCTGCCCGTGGGGATTGGCAAAGATGCTGCTCCTGGAGGAGTTGGGCATTTTGGTTGTTAGGTGCTTTCCTTCTGCTCTCTGGCTTGAAAGGATTATTCCAGGCTTAGTGTCTGGTTTTGGGGGAAAGCTTACCATAAACCTGTACTACCTTCCTGAAGAAGCTTACTATTTATTTATTTATTCCCCACTCTTCTAAAAATTATTTGAGGTATATACTCTGAACTATTCTTACATTAGAGGTATTTTTTTATGTCAAAAAAATCAAAAGTGACTGGTCTTGGTTACCGTAAAGTAGGAATAATAATATTGCATGTCACAGCAGTGTTGTAAATTAATCAGTATCTCAACTCTTAAGTATTTGAAAAGAACACGGAGAACATGTTCTTAGGGCCTGTGACTGGAGTGGTTTAATTCCATCCATCATTGCCATTCTTACACTGGAGATTACTGTGCCCATAGCATAACTGGTGGAATGGAACATGTGAGCATTCCCTAAAATTTCCTTCAGTACAAAAATAGCAAGGTTATCTGAAGCTCCTTCTTGGGCAGGGTGACCATTAATGAGTGTTTGGAGACAGTGTTTTCCAGTGTTCCAGTGTACCCAGAAGGGAATGTCTATCAGTGCCCTCCAAGTACCGTGTGAAAGCCAATATATATAAAATAACCCACATGTTTTTCAGATGTTTTGTGTGGTGAAACAGCTATTGAGTTAACCAGGTGTGATTCATTTGCGTTATCACATTTACGCTCTAGGAATAAATTTTTGATCTCACTAGAAAGTCATTGCTTTTAAAAGGTATCCAATTCTGTGCACAGTATGCCTAAGTAAAACCACTGTCATAAACTAGTGTTTCTGGGGATGAAGGGAAGACACGTAGCATGCAGATGCTGAGTAAAAAATCTAAACATTATGAACACATTTGCTGTTAGTCTCTAGGTTCCCTAGAAGTGTGTGATACTGTGGACAGAGACCTGTTCCTTCTAGGAGGGACGAAACAAGCTACCCAATAAGCTGATACAGAGCAATAGAAAACCGACTGTTAGAGCTGCTAAACAGTTTTAAAAAGTGCCTCATTTGCACCTCCAGTAGATTTTTGTAGAGAAAACACTTGTATATAAAATACTTTCACTCATTTCTAGCACTGCATTGGAAAACACTGTATCAGACATCTGTCCGTTCTAATCTATTTATACTGTTAATAGTCATCAGTGCATGCAGATGCAGTTAAACAGATCTAAAGCTAAACATCTATGTTTTGACTAGTTATTTGTTGGCCAGCTTTCAAAGAATCTTTAGATCCATATGTTCCCTCAACTAGATGGGTTGTTTTTAAAAATCAAAAAATACTCTAGAACGCTACAGTTTATTTGTGCACCTTGTGGTTTGAAGAAATTTCTCTTCCCACTTTGTGCCTTTAGAGAGCAGATAGACTCTTTTCAGGAGCATAAGCATACTTTTTGACTGAAAAAAAAAGTCTCCAAATGTTGTTGAAGTAAAGAGCTATGTCATAGTTTCAAGGGTTAGTAAAATTACGGAATGTAAGCAACTGAAATTCAACAAGCCGTTTGAGGCTCATATATTCTACAGCCAAGTTGTAGTTATTTGCTGAAAAATGCCAAAAAGAACACTTCATCCATCTCACTTATGGCAAAATACAGGGTACAATGCAATGAATTAGGTGCATTTATTGTGCGATTCATTTTTCAACTCACGTACTCTTAAATATTTAAATATTTATGAAGCTCAGGTCCCATTGTAAGAGTCAGCCTGAACATTACTAAATTATAGCAATACACTTCTAAAGCCAACATTTTTGTTTGGAAATGCCCTAAACTACCTTCATTTCTATGCATTTATGGCAGTCACCTTGCCTTGAGTATTAGACCTCTGATACAAATCTGTAACAGCCCATTAATTTAAGGAGAATTTATGCTTACATATTGCAGAATTTATGGTTACATATCGCAGAATAAATTTTGATATTCTTTTTAGAGTTTGTAGAACAAATTGCAGATGCATTGAATTTAGCTGACGTGTACTTCTTAACGCAAAGCTATGGATCCCTCCACCTTTAAATAAATAACAAAGGAACATTTATAAATTGCTTTTCCTTTTTCTCTGTGACTGGAAAAAATTAGACAGAATTCTGCCTAGCTTTGCACATGGAAAGAAAGCCTATGTTGTCTGGTAAATGAAATCAATGCTTTCTAT